GAACCATAAGACAAAGGTCCTGGAACTTGGCTAACAATATGAGCGAAAGTCGAATTTGGGAGGGGGTAAGATGTAGGAAAAAGACTAAAGGGTGGAGTGGAAAATGGCAAGCTTGACAGAGAAACTTGATAATAATCACTTCTAATGCCTAAAACAGTTACAACAGAGGCTTCAATTGGATTTGGGGGCAAAATATTAAAGAAATTACGAGGATTGTCATACACAAACTGCCCAACGTAAGGATTCGGCTGAACAACCGTGATGTTGAGAGAGGATAGGTAAGACTCTGGTCCAACGCCACTAAGTAGTAGAACCTGAGGCGTTCCGATTGTCCCTGCACTAACAATAACTTCTCCGTTACCGCGTACAAATGCCTGATGAGAGTTTCCATCAGAATCCGTATATATGACTCCAATGGCTGACAAATCTGCATTAGAGAATAGCTTATAATTATTGTCAAACTAAACGAAGGAGAATTGGGAAGTTTTATTTATGGAAATTTGGGAAATATGAGACTTCACACTATTCTGTTAGTATTTTAGAATAATAAAATAATAATTTTCGAGTGCAGCATGACAAACTAGGAGCTACCATTAAATATCAGAGATGCAACATACTTGATGTATTGGAAGAGAAGAGGATCTTCTCTACTGAGGCCTGAACTGCAACTAGCAAGTTGTTAGGGTCTCCTTTATTAAGCAGTTCATCAGCTGCATGTCGGGTTCCATTATTGTCAAAAGTTGAGCCGGTGAGTCTAGTTCCTGCTTCGTGATCCAAACTAAATCCATTGTCTGGAAGAATACCAGCCTCCAAGAATCCCTCTCCTATAACAGATTGCCAAGATTGATTATTTGGCTTGACCACAATGGCGTCTTCAACCCACTCATATGTCTTATTGACCAAATCCAGGTCCCATTCAATTCCTGTTTGACTATAGAATGAAATGTTAGCTCTGGCGTAGACGCCGGCATTGATTATGGTCGTGCCACCGAGGATCCTGCCTCGCACATTATCAATGCCATCTTCGGACACGAACCTTTCGACTGGCGTCTTTCCATCATCTTGTTGCTGCAGATTATATGCAAACCCATCTGCAGTCAACGTCTTCGGGTATTCTGTAGCAATAGTGCCTCTTTCTAGAAGAAGCACCTTGTATTTTTCTGATAAAGTTGCTGCCAATGGACACCCTGATGTTCCTCCA